GATTGGTATGAAAAGACCTTTGGGTTTAATTTAATGTGAAGATTTGTCCCTTTTTTGTTTTCTTATTATATTATTTGGTTTGTGAAATTATTCCAAATGAAAGATTTTGTTTTTTGGAACTTGAAATGTTTCTTAATTTCATACTTTTATACCATTTTTTATTTTTATTTTCTTGAAAGATGTTTTATTTGATGCCAAGCAAAGAGAACTTGCTATGTTTGCTATTTTGCCTTGAGACTCTGAAAAAAAGAGATGTGGCATCGATATGAATCATGTATATTTGCTGGTCTATTGTTTGTGGCATGAAAATATACTCATTTCACCTCAACTTGTTTTTTGGATTTGTGTCTTGACAAGTTTGCTAGTTTATTGCAAAGTAAGTATTTGATTCTATAAGATGCTTTTGTAATTAATGTCCCCTCTTAGTTCATGAGAATTCTACGAAAAAGTAGAGATGGGGTCATATAATTTACTCTCGGCTTTCTTTCTATAAACTTGATGCTTTTAAGCCCTGTTGTTTTGGTCAATGGTGATTTATGAGTGGAATGTATCTACCCTCGACTCTTTTAATATTTTTCTTGGGATGGTTAAGTTTTTGATTTGTTCTAAAGATTTTAGACATTGATGGTAACTTACTTTGATACCTTGTACCTTGTAAAAACAGACAACACAATCTGATGAAGGCTAACCTTTATTATTCCCTAACAAATTCAGTAGAATGACCTGTAAAACTATAGTATTTTTCTTTTTACATAACATTGTACAGTATATTGTTGTCTATCAATGATATTACTTTCTTACGCGGAAATATATTTTTGGTTGAATGCTAAACTGTGGGTGAAAAGTAGAGTTAACAGCAAAGTTGATGATACTAGGATGTAATGCTTCTTCGCTCTTTAGAAACATTTTGTTATTTAGTTGCTTAACGTGCCAACCATAATAATAAATCAAATGAGGTAATAAGTCCGTATTTTAATTAATCAATTCTAGAACTTTGAATAACTGCAACTTTTGCTCTAAATCTAGGATATCTATGTTTAAAATGTGAGGTGAAATCTTTGTTTTCTTTTCTCTTTTTATTGTATTTTATTTGGTGTGTAAGTGTTAAATTTATTGACCCAACAAAGATTTTCTCTAGTTCTTGTTGGTTTAAATGGCTGGGAGTAGATTTTCAAAATAATTTTTTATACGATCATTTGAACTCTCTTAACTTTTTATGGGCCTAACGTCACTGAGATCTATGGGTATCCCGTGAACCTTCTATAAGCATTCCAATTTTCTAGTTCTCTACGTTTTTAACACTACATCTGATGAAAAAATTGTCATGCCTATTTGAAGAGTTATATTTTTATTACCAACACGCTTTCCATGGTATTTATGGATTATGGAGCCTTGAAATTTCAAGAGTTAACTTGAGCCTTGTTTAATTAGGGATGGATTTATATATTCAAGGTAGAAAGAGAAGATGAAGTTGAATGCTTTCATTTATTTGCATTTTTTCAGATGGTTTTCTGATGAGCATGTTTAATCTTTCTGTCTTTTCACTCTTAGGATCGGTTTGCAACAGGTTCCACGTCGGGGTCCTGCGGAAGGAGGTTTACCTTGTTGATATGTTTTGAGAATAATTACCGGTGCTGCTATGGTTTTTTCTTTACGTTTCATCAGTGGGTACATTTGGACCAAAATTGCAATTTGACACTTCTATCACACAACCAATTGAATCATTGCGGGCTGTGATTTGCACCATTACCAGATTTGTTGAATTGTGCACTTTAGCTTACACTTGATATGCGAATCATGATGTTGATAAGTTGCTAAATGGGAAGCTAAGGCGTGTTTCCCTTCTTTTAATGATGACATGAAGGTTTCAATCTTTATATGACTTTCGTTAACGAAGTCATAATTTCTTAACACAAGGGTTCAGGCTTAAAATATGAAAGATTACCTCATATCTAATAATTTTTTAGTCATAAACTTCAGAAGTAGCTGATTAACCATCTTAGATCATTTTGAAATTTTTCCCATCCCTCAGAGCCTTTGCCTATAAGACAAATCTTCTGAGAGACAGGAATGTTGAATCTGGCAGGAAACTTCATGACTAATTTTGTTCTCTTCCTTTTTGCGAATGATGAATAATAGAGTGATTACTTGTTTAAAATGTCTACGGCAATTATTATATTGATTGGTGAAGTTAATATGGTTTAAATGTGATAATGTAGCACAAAAGGACTTGGTCAAACTGGACCAGATCTGTTTTGATGCTCATACACGTAAGGATGGTATCACCCTGGCTCGAGGTAAGCCGAAAGAGGGACTGAGCTCCAAGGTGCACTGCACTACAAGTAAGAGTTTCTGTTTTATGGGGATTGATTATTGTTGTGGCTCTACTCTAGGTAAGCCGAAAGAGGGATTGAACTCCAAGGTGCACCACACTATAATTAAGAGTTGAATGGGAATTGATTATTGTTGTCCAAGAATTAGAATTATGTTAGCATCAGTGTTTAATTACCTGAATTTCTACATGTATTAGTAATATCTCTGAAATGTTTAGGGAACTGTTTGGCTGAACGGAAGAATTAAAGAAAAACTGTAGTGCATGCGTCACCTCCTTTTGTTTTCTTGCTGTTCCTTTGTCTGAGGCAAAGTCAAACAGATTCATTGAGCACGGTATAATTTTAGCTTCTTGGGGCATGAGTGCATTTGAAAAGGTAGGAGTGTGTGACCAAATAAAGCATTTACTACAAGACCGCAAGGGCAAGGTGCACACGCTAGCATTTATGTCCATAGATTTGATGATGACTTCATGCCAGAATCTATGTTCTTCTTCAACAAGAGAAAAATGGTCATAACCGTGCCAATGCCAATTTCAACCTCTCTGCTTACATGGGCCTTATTGTCTTTAATGCTATCTTTTTGCGGTAAGACCATCATTTCCACGAACCTTTGCTGTACTGATATTGTGTTTCTATTCTAGTCACTAACACACGCACCGGGGGCATAAAATCACCCTTTCTCTTCTCTTAAACTTTATATTCATTAAATATGTGTAGTAACTTATGGTGATGAAGGTGTTTGAAATTTTTATGACACCATAACTGTTGGGAAGGCTGACCCCTATTCCAGATGGGGAATCATATCTACCTAGAGAACTTCCCCGCTCTCTCAAAAACTCTTTCACACGTAGACATACCACACTCAAAACCTTACGCCCAACACGCAAAGCCTTCGTGCACTCTTCCATTATTCTCTCTTTTTACTAATTGCACCAACAAAAGAAATTTAAAGATAGACCCCACAAGGTGGAGCAAATGTTATCTGATCTACGGAGGTGGGACCCTAAATCATGACACCAGATTCTTGATTCAAAGGCTAGTGGTAATAGTAGTATAGAATAGCTAAACAGAAGGAAGGTTATCATGTATGTTACATAGGTTTCAAAGGCTTTTTTGTGTTTGTCTCTCTCTGTTCTGTGTGCATCGGATCCTGCAAGCAACAGATTGTTGGTGGCTTTTGTGAAATTAAGGCAGACAAGACCCCGTTTGGTCTTCCTTCGATATCTCTACTTTGAATTTTCTTTTGCGTACCACATGATTGCATGGCATGGCTTTAGGCTTTGGCAGAGATTTTTATCCACACCAACACTTTAAATTTACTCATTGCTCTTCCCCTTTCCTCGGTTGTCTTTATATTTCAAAGAAATATCTGTACACTCTCTCTCTCTACTCTTTTCTCCTATAAATACATAAGCTTCTTCACCTTCTTTTTCAAGTCACTCACTATCCAGTCGAGAGTGTATGGTTTTAATGGGTGAGTAGCTCCTTGATGGAGAAGCAGGGCACGTGCAAAGTCTTCGGCTTCTCTGCCAATGCTTAATCCCTCTGCACGTGCTCCCCTTCTCCAACATGGGTTCCTCACCCTTCCTCGTTCTCTTCAACTCTCCAGATAATGTTCATGTGTGTGCTTCTTTCTGGGTAATGTAGTTCGGCTATATGGATTGAAAAGCTACCTCTTTCACTCAGTATTAACGCCCTTTTTTTCTGTCTCTTCTCTAATTAATTTCCACCACTTTTCTCGATTTGATTCAAGTTTAAAGGAATTTGATGCAGGCTTCTCTCTCTGAAACGTTTGATCATGTTGACATGCATGCAGGTTCCTTTTCCTCAAACGATCACTCTCCTCTAGATATAATTTCAATATATACTATTTGAGAGTTGAGCATGGACTTCTTAGCAATATTACCAGGGAAAGCAAAATTATGAATAAAAGATGTTGGAAATTAACCCATGCTTTTGAGAGGTTAAATATCACCAGTTATTAATTAAATTGGTCGACAAACCTTCGAAGGCATGGTACAGGACATCATCACACAAAGCAATATTTACAGACTTCTTCCCACCCCTTTATTCACTGGCAGGTCAGACTGTACATGCTAATGCTCATCCTAATGCCAGTGAATTCAGATCGGATTAACAACTAGCCGGCAATCCTCCAAAAGAGAGGCTATTTTTAGTTTTCTACACACTAATGTCGAGCCCTTCTATGCCCTTTAATATTATTAATGCACCACTACCTACCGTAACGCGTACGTAGAATTTTTTTTTTTTTTTTTTTTTTGTTCAACCATTTTTTTAAAGTTAATGAAATTAATCACTAGTTATGGCGGGTTTTTGAAATAACAAAAGTATTTCTACCCTTAATGAATTAAGGTTTTAAAATAATAAAAGTATTTTTACCGTTAATGAACATATAATTAGCCGTTTCATTGTTATGAGTTAGTATAAAAAGATTTCAGTTATTTCCAAGACTTCAAAATAATTTTTATTATTATACCATATCTAAGAAGGACTAAACTCTACTTTTTTGATATACCATACTATAATATTTTTTAAGTGTAAAGAGTGAAAGGAGGAAAATGAAAATTTTAAAAAGTTTAAACAATTTTAATTGCGAAATTAAATAATTTTAACATAGAACAAAGAGAAGGCATTTTTGGAGGCCAAATGAATTCAAACTTGGTCCACCAGATGATCTCAACGTATCAGTAACAACTGCGCGGATCCAAGAGTGTAAAATGTTGTAAAATGTTGCACGAGCTCTTACTGGCTCTCTTGGGTTACACCGGAGATCTCATAATCGACGAGCGAGAGCATCAAACCTCTATTGGCATTCGTTTATCTCCCGATGCTCCTATCTCTGAGGAACCCACCTTTAAGCTCGCTCCTGATATCTCATTCATTGAACCCAGCGAACGGTATGTTTTAGGGTTTCTATTTTCGTTTCGACAAACGGCGCCAAACTTTTTCCCAAATTAACTTTGTTTGTTTTTAGGGATTACAATTGCTAAAGGAAAATGTTTTTTCGAATTTTGACAATTACAATTACAAAGTTTTCCTTATCCCTATTTATTTTTCTTTTGTGTTTGAAAACTTAGATGCTAATGCTTTGGGATAGTCCATCAAATTCAGTATCTGATGAAATTGCTACTGCTGCAGAGACCTTATTGAGAAAATCATCACCTTAGGATTTTACTATAGAGAGCTTGATCGATTTGCAACAAATTCTAGGAATTTAAGTTGGATAAGGTCTGCCAATGTATCACCCTTGGAAAGGGCTGCTGAATTGTCAAAAGGCAAAGCAGGAAATCCTAGTGTGTACCGAAGGGCCATCGCTAATGGCATTGTCGAGATACTGTCGGTGTACAGGTCTGCTGTTCTTCACATTGAGCAAAGACTGTTGTCCGACACTATGCCCATTTTGGCAACTGTAACTCAAGGCCTCAACAAGGTTGCTTGTGGAATGCATTTTTTTGTATTATTTTTTCCTCTGAGCATTTACTTTATTGGCAGTTGGATGACTTTGATCACTAAGCATAAGCTTAATGATAAAAAAAAGTTATTTGTGTTTTTTATGAGTGGACTTTTTTTCCCCAGTTTTTTGTCCTTCTGCCGCCTCTATATGAGCTTGTTCTAGAGATTGAGCGTGATGATATCTGTGGAGGACAACTGCTTAACCTTTTACACAAGCGGTGTCACTGTGGGGTGCCTGAACTGCAGGCATGCATTCAGAGGTATACACTCCATTTTTTATTTCATATGATGAGCTTCTGTTTTCGACAACAATATCTAAGTATGTGGGCTTTAATAGCATAACTTTTATTTGCCCGATTGCATATCCAGGGGATTTACTAGATTAGGGAAATTGTTCAGTTTCGACTAGTAATGTGTTAAAACATACACAGCCTATCCTATGTCCTATATTATGATGAGATAGTCATTGGAACTTAAAGAAATTGATGTGGTTCAAGGCTGTTGTGAGCTTACTTATCAGTGTTTGTATTTATTTTTTGAAGCTGCTTGGACAACATATAAGCACCATCCTAAGATGCTGCTTTGACTACCTATTAGATTTCATTAAGATGCTTGTTTCTTTTATCAACTTGCAAAATGAATTTATTTGCTGGTTAGTTTCATCTTCATTGACAATTTTTGTGCCCAAAGTATAGGCTTCTTTGGCATGGCCATCAAGTCATGTATAACCAACTAGCTTCATGGATGGTTTATGGGATTCTTCAGGACCAGCATGGTGAATTTTTCATTAGAAGGTAATGGATAAACCATTATTTTATAATTTCCCAAGTGAATATTGAGTAGAATTGTGCTTTTGTTTAGTGTAATTGTTTATCTACATTGGGAATCTGATCAATGTTTTGTCTAAATGACTGTAGAAACTCATCTATGACTATCAGTGACAGTTTAGTAATGCATATCCAAGAATGCTTTTAAGATTATATTTAGACTTGTTTCTTTCAACATTTCTTGTGCTTAAAACCTGCTCAATTGTGAAAGTGGTTTTTCTTCTATTGTCAAATTAATTCAACTGCAAAAGTTTATTAAGATTTGATGAGGAAGTTGGGAAGGCACTTTTTGATAAACTCATTAATTTTTTTTTAAGCAACTGTTTCTGGGAATACCTGAGTGAACTGTGAGAACATCCTTGCTGTGAAAAGGAATAAATTGCACGGAGTTTGTTTGTATTTATTGAGACTATAATGTGATTGATGTAGGTGTTTCTAGACAGCATTTATTCTGTTTTATTTTTTAATTATTATGAGTGTTCATGGGTTTCAATGAATTATAGTTCCTTATGTTCTCATTAGTGATATATGCATTTGCTTGTAAATCAATATAGTTCCTGAAACTGAGTCTCTGGTTTTTAACCTTTCAGGCAGGAAGACAGAGATGTAGAGCATGGTGCATCTCACTCAGATATTTCTGAAAAGTTGGTGCGCTTGTCTACTGATGATACATCTTTAACAGATTGGCACCTAGGATTTCATATTTTTCTGGTATCTTTCTAAACTGTATGTCTTTGATCACCTCTTATTTAAATGCTTGTCAATAGACATCAGTTATCTAGATGCTATCAAATAGACTTTTTTTGGTCTACAAGTTCTGGTATTTACTTCTTTGATGCCTATAGAAACTGTCATATTTCTGTTAAGAATGATTGTTATGAAGATCTAGTAAATGCATTACCCTATCTGCTGCGTGATGTTGCCATATGAATAAGCATCTTTGTGGTTAAGCCAATCATCAATTTATACTGAAGTTATTTGACATAGGAACCCAAATTATGAATCTGGATATAAGGGCCTCTTCTCTCTGTAATGCACTGTGATATCCATGTGTAGAACTCAAAGGATGAGTTACAAATATTTGGGACGAAAATGTGTTCCCTTTGTTGTTCCACTTATCAAGTTTACTTTTGATATTATGTGTGTTTGTTTGTTGTGTATTATAAGAGACAGTTTTATCCTTCATATTCTATATTTATATGTTCTCATCATTTAGATCTAATAAATGCTGAAAAATATAGCACTCTTGCTTATCACTAAGGTTTCTTTTACCATTTTTTTTTTTTTTTTTTGGTGTTTTATTTACCGAAAAGTTCTTTTGTTTTATAAATTTATTGTTGTTACAAGCTGTTTAGTATTTTATTGTAATTTTGCAGGATATGCTGCCTGAACATATCCATATGCGTGTTGCAGAATCAATTCTTTTTGCTGGTAAAGCGGTCAGGGTTCTCCGGAATCCAAGTGCTGCCTTTCGGTTTCAGGATCAGCAGTTAACAAGAGGCTCTCAGAAAGTTCAGGGATTTACAGGACGCTTTCTTTTTCAGAAGGAGCCTTTCCAAGATATGAAACTCATTGGAGAAGAATTGCTTCCACAGTCCGAGGCTGATAAGATTGAAGCTATGCTTCAAGACCTTAAGGTTTTCTCCCCATTGTAGATAACATCTTGTTTTAGTCCTTGTCCGATAGATTCCATGAACTTGGCAAATCTCTTTTATCTTTCATACTAGAAACTATTTTGCCCTTTAACAATATGAGATGAGCTTTACGGCTAAACCATGGTCCATCCTATGTAGGAATCATCAGAGTTTCACAAAAGATCATTTGAATGTGCTGTCGACTCTATACGGGCTATTGCAGCCAGTCATCTTTGGCAGGTGCTGAATGTGATGAATTTGTTTCTAGTATCATTTAGACCTTATATTTACTTTAGTTTCTCTATTTCTGCAGCTTGTGGTTGTGCGTGCTGACTTGAATGGCCACCTGAAGGCCTTAAAAGACTATTTTCTTTTAGCAAAAGGAGATTTCTTCCAGGTAAAAGATGGAGAGTATCTGTTTTTTTTTTTTTTTTTTTTTTCCCTCATGGCGGTGGGGTTAATCTTTTTTAATGTCACTTGGGCCCCTTCTTCAAACTTTTGATATATCTTATAAGGCCGTAGAACTGATATCCTCATTCAGCTAGTGTTAACATGAATCTGGCCATGGAGAAGAGGAAGCTCTTATTGAAACTTTTGTGGTTCTTTTTCTTTGAGATAATCAATTCACACACTATCTATGTTTTTTATGAACTCCATAAACGGATATCTGATGGTGTTTGTAGCCACTTTGTGATGTTATATATTGCATAACTGTGTTGTGACAAATGTATGACTGAGTGAATCTCATAGAATAGATGTTTGCGTACTTATAATGCATGGATGTTGGTGCAAACTGATTTGTTGTTATGGAAAATGTACCTTCTTTTGCCTACTTCCTGTCTCTATCTCCTACCATATATAGAATTATCGTTCTTATTAATTTTCTATCAAACATGTCACAGAGAAAGTGATCCCAAGAAATTTTATTAGAATTCTTGTTAATCCTCTAGATGTTCAGGAATATTGTGTTTGTTATATCATTAGAGTGTCTAATTTTATTTGAATTCTTGTTTATATCTAATTGTTTTAATTAGACATAATCTCTTGATTCCAGTGTTTCCTTGAGGAGAGTCGACAGTTGATGCGTTTACCACCTCGTCAGTCAACTGCTGAAGCTGATCTTATGGTCCCATTTCAGCTTGTATGTTAATTATGAGATGATTTTCTTGTCAAGTTATTATATACTTTGCCTGGTTAGTTTAAAGCTAGTGGTAACTTGTCGAGCCTAAACTTTTGTTACAAATTCATTTGCACTACTTGCTTTGCAGGCAGCAATAAAGACTATTGGTGAAGAAGACAAATACTTTTCTAGAGTATCCTTGCGGTAAAACCTATGTTTCTATAATTTAAACTCTGTTGCAAATTTGCCTTGAGTTATGTCATGTCTAAACGTTATTGAAAGAATTTGCACTAAGTTTTCTTTCTGCATATCCTAGTATGCCATCATTTGGAATCACAGTTAAATCCTCTCAAGTAGATATACCAAAGGCAAAAGCTTATATGGACGGAAAGTCTGGCACTGCACTATCAAATGCTGCTTCAGAGATTTCTCTTGATGGCTGGGATGGAATTGCTCTTGAATATTCCGTGGATTGGCCCTTACATTTGTTCTTTACCCAAGAAGTGCTCTCTAAGTAAGATTCTAGAGTTATTGTTATACATGATTGCCACTTTTTAACTGAGGAAGTTGGAGCTAGTCCACAAAACTTCCTACCTTTTGTCTTATAGATGATAGGAAAACTAAAAGCCTTTTGAAACGAAGAACTCCAGACACATAAGGAGTTGATAGCTGTTGAACAACCGGTCACTTCTATTGTATACATGTTAACAATGAGTGCACTCCAGGTACTGTAGGGTCTTCCAATATTTGCTGCGGCTCAAGCGAACCCAAATGGAATTGGAAAAATCCTGGGCCTCTGTAATGCATCAAGNGGTGCTGAATGTGATGAATTTGTTTCTAGTATCATTTAGACCTTATATTTACTTTAGTTTCTCTATTTCTGCAGCTTGTGGTTGTGCGTGCTGACTTGAATGGCCACCTGAAGGCCTTAAAAGACTATTTTCTTTTAGCAAAAGGAGATTTCTTCCAGGTAAAAGATGGAGAGTATCTGTTTTTTTTTTTTTTTTTTTTTTCCCTCATGGCGGTGGGGTTAATCTTTTTTAATGTCACTTGGGCCCCTTCTTCAAACTTTTGATATATCTTATAAGGCCGTAGAACTGATATCCTCATTCAGCTAGTGTTAACATGAATCTGGCCATGGAGAAGAGGAAGCTCTTATTGAAACTTTTGTGGTTCTTTTTCTTTGAGATAATCAATTCACACACTATCTATGTTTTTTATGAACTCCATAAACGGATATCTGATGGTGTTTGTAGCCACTTTGTGATGTTATATATTGCATAACTGTGTTGTGACAAATGTATGACTGAGTGAATCTCATAGAATAGATGTTTGCGTACTTATAATGCATGGATGTTGGTGCAAACTGATTTGTTGTTATGGAAAATGTACCTTCTTTTGCCTACTTCCTGTCTCTATCTCCTACCATATATAGAATTATCGTTCTTATTAATTTTCTATCAAACATGTCACAGAGAAAGTGATCCCAAGAAATTTTATTAGAATTCTTGTTAATCCTCTAGATGTTCAGGAATATTGTGTTTGTTATATCATTAGAGTGTCTAATTTTATTTGAATTCTTGTTTATATCTAATTGTTTTAATTAGACATAATCTCTTGATTCCAGTGTTTCCTTGAGGAGAGTCGACAGTTGATGCGTTTACCACCTCGTCAGTCAACTGCTGAAGCTGATCTTATGGTCCCATTTCAGCTTGTATGTTAATTATGAGATGATTTTCTTGTCAAGTTATTATATACTTTGCCTGGTTAGTTTAAAGCTAGTGGTAACTTGTCGAGCCTAAACTTTTGTTACAAATTCATTTGCACTACTTGCTTTGCAGGCAGCAATAAAGACTATTGGTGAAGAAGACAAATACTTTTCTAGAGTATCCTTGCGGTAAAACCTATGTTTCTATAATTTAAACTCTGTTGCAAATTTGCCTTGAGTTATGTCATGTCTAAACGTTATTGAAAGAATTTGCACTAAGTTTTCTTTCTGCATATCCTAGTATGCCATCATTTGGAATCACAGTTAAATCCTCTCAAGTAGATATACCAAAGGCAAAAGCTTATATGGACGGAAAGTCTGGCACTGCACTATCAAATGCTGCTTCAGAGATTTCTCTTGATGGCTGGGATGGAATTGCTCTTGAATATTCCGTGGATTGGCCCTTACATTTGTTCTTTACCCAAGAAGTGCTCTCTAAGTAAGATTCTAGAGTTATTGTTATACATGATTGCCACTTTTTAACTGAGGAAGTTGGAGCTAGTCCACAAAACTTCCTACCTTTTGTCTTATAGATGATAGGAAAACTAAAAGCCTTTTGAAACGAAGAACTCCAGACACATAAGGAGTTGATAGCTGTTGAACAACCGGTCACTTCTATTGTATACATGTTAACAATGAGTGCACTCCAGGTACTGTAGGGTCTTCCAATATTTGCTGCGGCTCAAGCGAACCCAAATGGAATTGGAAAAATCCTGGGCCTCTGTAATGCATCAAGATCACACAGATTTTGCCCAACATCGCAATGACCGTTTAAACTATTCAATAACTCAACAGCGACGGCAGCGCTTTAGACCAATGTGGCGTGTTAGAGAGCATATGGCATTTTTGATAAGAAATCTGCAATTTTACATCCAGGTCATTGAGATTATTTATGTTCATAATTCCTGGCAATTCTGGTTTATTTAAATTAGAGACATGTTTTTCATTGTTGCAAATTTCATAATACAATGATTGCATAATCATGAAAATCCATTTGCACAAGCTTGTTCTCCAATGTCGAGGAATCTTTTGGATAGTGTTTTCTACTTGGCTGGAATTTGGCCAAAATATGTCAAGTAATAAGGGTTGAAATAAAAGTATTAACTTAACTCATATGGGATAATGATTTGCTTTATTTGCTGTTCTTGATACATTGCCTTATTCATTTCCATAGACATTTATTTATTTATTTCTCATATGTTTCTTAAGTCAGTTGAATTGATTATTGATGAGAAAACTTTGATGTGCTTTATGAAATTCATATGAGTGATAGATGCTCTTAGAATGATGTCAAAAATCAAATATCTTAGGCATTTGGAACAAGCCATATTTACCATCATTTAAATTGAGTTTTGTTTCTCATCGTGGCTTTATCTTTCTTGCTCTAGGTTGATGTGATAGAATCTCAATGGAATGTTCTGCAAGCTCATATTCAAGATTCTCGTGACTTTACTGAACTTGTAGGCTTTCATCAAGAGTAAGTAAACATGAGTTATGTTTGGTAACCTCAACATTGTGCTGATGAATTTGACCTCAACATTATGCTTACAATTTTGAACACTTACAGGTATTTATCAGCATTAATTTCTCAGTCTTTCCTGGACATTGGCTCAGTGTCAAGGATACTGGATAGCATAATGAAACTTTGCCTCCAATTCTGCTGGAACCTTGAGAATCAAGAAAGCAGTGCTAATACATCTGAACTAGAACATATTACTGAGGTACTTATATTTAGCAATCCCTCTTATGCTTCATCTTGTGCCTGCTAGTGTTGCTATTGTGAGGGAGCATAAGTGTTTGAATTTGGTTACTTTTTAACCTTCGAGTTTGAATATCAATTGGGTTGGTCCCATTTATCTGAGCTGTGTACTATTAGAAATGTTGACAAAAAATAATCTGAATCTTGCCGCAGTTGGAAAATCATGTTGAATGCATTTATCTGAGCTGTGTACTATATAAGAAATGTTGACAATGGATGATTTGAATCTTGACACAGTTGGAAAGCCATGTTGAACGTACAGTGATTGAATTCTGTCTTAATTTCTCGTTGAGAAGTTTCACTTTTTTTATGCATCTTAGTAGACATTTCTTCTGCTGATTTCTTTTCTGAAAAAGGTCATTGAACCTGTTGATTCGTCTTATTATTAAATTATCCTAGTTTCTTTAATTAGTATCTCTTCATATTCCATGTGGGAAACCTACTATAGCCGCAACTAATTAAGCAACCAACATGATAAAATTGGCAATTGTCATCAATTATAGGTGTATCATATGGCATTTATAAAGTTATCCTTCTCTTCTTTTAATTTGAAACACGAATTATGTGAAAAGTTAGGGTTTTGCTACCTTTTCAATGGAAAGTTGGCTGGTCTAAGCATTTATAGGTAGTATCACATTGCATAGGGCTGAGACCTTGTAGATCTACTAATACCAGCGTTTGTGGTTGATCATTATGATAAATTATAAGCGCCTACTTTGTATTTTGGGCATATAAATTAAGAAGGGCATTTTAGTTCCTTCACGTGGTGTTAGAAAAGTTATGAGGTCGTCATTCCATAGAATACCTTATTTTATATTAAAAGAGTATTATCACTGCAATTATTCCATGATAACTCTTTTTGTTGATGCCAGTAATAAGGGCTCCTAAGATTGTTTTCATTAAGTGTGGACTAGATTTAATTATCATTTTCATACGAAATGTGGCCTCAATGATCTCTGGATATTTTGATGATTGTTATCCTCTCTAAGCTGCTTGATTGACATTATTTTGCATGACTTGTACACTTCATAATTCCTTTTTACCATTAAAACAATGTTACGCTATTATGCTGCTGGGAGAATTTTATGGTTCTCGATTGACTAATTTCAGGAATTTAACAAGAAATCAAACTCTTTGTATACTATATTACGGAGTAGCAGGCTTGCTGGGAGTCAAAGAGCCCCATTCTTGAGGCGATTTCTTTTACGCCTAAACTTCAATTCCTTCTTTGAGGTAAAAGATATGAGTATCCTTTAGATGCTTTCTCTATATTTACTTAGCCCTGTAGTTTCTGATAGATGGTTATTTTATTCTATTAACAGGCAACTGCAAGAGGAGTGCTGAATGTTGTTAGACCACGTCCAGCAGTTACTGTTTTAAATCAACAATAGCGTTAAATTGTTTTACCATGTGAATGTGAGGGCTGTTGTATGATTAATGTTTGTTTGTTGGAGGAAGAGGGAAATATGTATGTTAATGGTAGTTTGAGACATATTCCAGGCAGCCATCCGTTCTGGATAGTTAGGTGGTGATCACCGCTTGAACAAAATGTCTATTTGCAGCTTGAGAATTATAAGTAGGCATTCTGGTTAGGTGATTGTTTGGTTAGATGGCTTGAAGTTGTGGGTCCCTTGAAAGTTAGATGGTAATTTGGGTAGATAGGTTTGACGGTGCAGTTTGGTTTCAGACTGTTGACTCAACGGTGAATCATCCCATGTGGTTAGCTAGCGCTTGCTCTTCGTCTGTAGCTTAAGCTTGTGGTTGTGGGTCTGCTTTGAAGCTTTGGCCTATTAATTAAGAAGGGGCTTTGGTTGCTGCCCCATTCTCAATTTATCTTGGGATGAATAATTTTCTTTATAAAAATGTGATTTTTATGTGTTTAAAATGAGTTTTGGTGATTAGCATATTTAATCTATAAAATATTTAGTGTTACCAAGTAGACTCTAAATTGTTTTTTTCTTTTCTTTTATTATTATTATTTTGTGAAAAATGGGGCCTAAGCCCAGACTTTTCTTTTCTTTTATTCGTTATGAAGTTAGGTGTTTATTACTTTATTAAGAATTTAAGATTGAGACCCCACGGACAGAGTGTTTAAAATTCAACTTTCTCCTGGACAAGCTCTTGTTCGATACTTTCGAGTTTTCTTATTTAAAAACATAAAGGTCTCATTTGGATCTTGGGATTTTAAATGAATGATTTTGTTGAATCTATAGATTTGGTAAAATCCTTCTTCTGGTTTAAAAAACAAAAAAAAAATGGTTGAAATACATGGATTTTGGCAAATTCTTTACTCTCCAAAAGTCTTCATTTTTTAGGGTTTTAAAATCTCACCTGGTAGTAGGTGAGATTTTGCCAAATTCATTAGTTTTTAATAAAATCATGGGTTTTGTTAATATTTTAATTTTCTAATAATAGCTTTGTCAATAATTTAACATTCAGTAATTACTTTTTACCCTAATTAAAAGATTGATGATATTTTTGAAATTCAAAAAGTGGTTGTGGCAAGAAAGATAGTTAAATGCCTGAAAGTGATCTCTTTTTTAGTCAGATGAAGCAAAGAAGACATGTTTTGGCTCTTTTGATTCCTGACAATTGATTATGTTTTTTTGCTATTTATTATTTTGTAATGTGTGCTTTGTCACACTAATATCAATGATGAAATTTGCTAATGTTTGACAAGTTTTGTATGTTTTAGGACGTGATGTTATTACATTATATTAACATTAGTTTTCTAAATAGGTACGGTTATATTATATGTTTTAATATGAAATTATTTAATTATTGAAGTTATTATGAATGAAGATGGTCGATAATATATTATATTAACTTAGAATTTTTTTTTTTTTACCAAATCACAAAACAATCATTCATTATAATTAGACTTCTTTATCAAATGTAATTCAACTTGTAATTAATTAGATGAAAGTTGAATTTTTGTTGGTTGTGGGTATTGAGAGTAAAGTTGGAAATTATTTGTTAAATCTATAGATTGTATTCATCTAACCAAATATGAGTGCATGAAAATTTGAATCAACAATATATAGATTTTATATTTAAACCAAATAATGGAAGTTATTAAATCTATAGATTTTGAATCCATGGATCCTACAAAATCCCTGGATTTTAAAATCCCTGGATTCAAGCGAGGTCATAATAAAAAGATAAAAAATAGTCCTCCTTGATGAGAAAAGCAGGAGAAACCGTTGTACTTCAAAATGCCTTAGCAAATTCATATACAATGTAGTTGACTAAACAACAAAGNAAAATTTGAATCAACAATATATAGATTTTATATTTAAACCAAATAATGGAAGTTATTAAATCTATAGATTTTGAATCCATGGATCCTACAAAATCCCTGGATTTTAAAATCCCTGGATTCAAGCGAGGTCATAATAAAAAGATAAAAAATAGTCCTCCTTGATGAGAAAAGCAGGAGAAACCGTTGTACTTCAAAATGCCTTAGCAAATTCATATACAATGTAGTTGACTAAACAACAAAGGGGAAAAAATAATAAAAGAAACAAATATTCAAACTCTCTATTTACATTTAGAGCTCTTCAAACCCTTCCTCATCTGCTCCTTCCTCTACCCTCTGAAATTCTCTCCTCCAAGTTTCCATCTGTCATAAATTCACAAACAGAGACACTTCTCAGAACCAAAGACATAACCGCAGAAGAATTTAATTAGCAATAGTTATATAGCTGGCAAGCAACAAATAAACAGTCAAACGTATTTTCATGCCCTTAACCCAAACTGATCAAGTATAAAACAGCCAAAAACAAAATTATCAAGCATGAAGCAGCCTATAAATTATCATTATATTTAACATTTAGAATCAGGTATAGGTTGTTGTACCTGATCATCAGAAAACCGCAGTTGTTCTGCAACAAATAGTATATTCTTGTAGTATCCCGGTGCTAATTCCTTACCCAAACTGCTTGCAACTTCACTGTAGCTAACCATTCCCACCCGAAAACCATTGCTCATGAACAGTTTTTCCATCCATTTCTCTGTGGTAGGCTGCACAAGAGACGAAAAAATTGATGATATCTTCTTCAGGGAAGAAAGCAGCTTAAGTCAAAATCATTACATCCAGAATAAAACAAAATAACCTTGTTCTCAATTTCAGTTTCTGTCAACCATGCAGGCAATTCTCCCAGGAAGAAACATCCATTCATAGCCAAACTACTAATTAGGAGCAAAATCTCTTCAAAACTTGCCAAAGTCATCACAGGCAGTCCCTGCAGGAACGTATGTAAATAACTACCTCATTTAATCATCCTCAGCTAGCAGAATTTGAAGTGATTATAACAGCGAACATTTAATCACCTGAAAGGCCCATATGCTTGGGCGATTACCATTAAAGCCTTTAGAATGCAAAACTTCTTGTATGTTAGACAATTCTAATGGAACATGAAGGTATAAGCAACTTCTTGGGATCTTAGCCCCAACACCTAAGATTTAAAAAAAAAAACACTTTAGGAACATTAACAAGTGAATTCATTATGTGCAATCGTCCAATACTACGGAACAATATAAATACCAAATTTACCACTTCAAGAACCATTAGTAACTTAATATCTTATAAGAAACCACTTAAAACTGGGATACAAACCTTCAAGCTTTTCAGCTGATTTTCTGAATACTCTTTCAGGGGAAATATCAAATATTATGGTCGAATTTGGCCAGTTAAGCCTATAAGGCCGAGTGTCCATGCCGTCTGTCAACAGAACAACCTGCAGGATAATAAAGAGCAAAAGTACTTCTGGTTTCACAATGATCAGAAGTAACCATTCAATCAATACAAAGACTACTAACTACCTGCTTAAGTCCATCGATATGGTTCACTGTACGAAGTAACTTATCATCAATGAACTTCGTTGCAAGACAATAATGGTGTGAATGCTTTTTCATATCCATTTGAACATTAGGAGGAACAAGGCAACCGGCATATGGATCCACAAACAGAGGCTCTGCATAAGCATGCGATTGTTATGTATTTGAATTTGGTATTCCAAAAGTAAACAAAACTCAAAGAAAGCTAAAACATCAAATTTCAACACTCGGAAACACAAACATAGTAGCCTGGAAAAAAACAAAAACAAAATTTGGTGATGAGGAATCATTTAAGGAAGCTGAACTCTAAAGGATGCTTCTATTGAAACTAGGAAGACCATTGAATTTTGCACCAAGTCTGAACACATGCCGTCAAGGGTAACTAAACACTCATAAGGATGAAAGGTTGTCTCAGCTTTTAAGACAATAGAGGCAAAAGAGAAATTCAAAATGTAAGATAAGGACCTACATTTAGCAAGCCTGACACATAAAGATTGGTAAGTACACTTGTATCAAACCTGAAAGAACTGACAAAAAAGAAAAAATTCGATACACAAACTTGTTTAATAATAAAAATATTTGGTTGATAAATGAAAATGTTTTAATTAACTTTTGATATTATGTTGCAATAAACTTTGATAATGGCTGTTATCTTGCCCACCGTAAAGATAAAATTTACAATCATCCCTCAGGTACAAAGATTCAAAATGATTCTCCAAATACTAAATCAATTCTAAAACAAAATGATTACTTAGTAACTGTTCGACAAAATGCCTGATCGAGAAAGAAAACTCAACATGAACCTATAAAGAATGGATAGGCTTGCCTGGTCGGTGGGTCTCCTGAAAACGAAGAGATGCGGATTTAGTAGCTGCTTGGAGTAGTGGGTCAGATTGATTGTTGAGTTTGGCTTTCAACAAGAGGCCATTTTTCTTTATCAGCGTCTTGTCACTGAAGCGTACACTAAAGATGGTATCAACGAACAATGAATTTGAAAATCTTAAGCAGTCCATGTGTTGCAGTGGCGATCTTCACCAATGTTTAAACTTTTCATCCTCCATGGTTACTGTATTTGGACGGGACGAGTCCCTTACGGCTGAACTGGAGCATGAGCTCCATGCACACCACGACTATTTTGTTTCTTTATCTTTTTTGTCTTCTCACGTGGGTGGGCAAATATGACAACACGTGGCAACAAGTAGTTAAAATGAATTTCAAAAGCACCGATGACCGAACATTTCGCTGACTATTTCTGAACTGAATTCTACTCCCAGGACTCTCAAATCAAATCTAAGGGAATGTACCACTCCTCCTTATTGTCAGTAGTAAGAGGGTGACTATCTCTTCAAGAGAAAACGTTTCCATTAAACTACGGATTAGTGTATAATAGTGTGTTGGGACTTGACTTTTGAGATATTATTTCCAGCATTAAGGTATTTAAAAGCTATAAACCATGAGTGCAAAGTCATTAAAAAGTATGCCTCATATTTGAGGCCGCTACTTAACTTTTGGTAGCCACCAGAAGAAAACAAATTGGTTGTCCCAAAACTCCAAACCTCTTCTCACGAATAATATTGGACACATAAATTTTTACGTAAATGTATAAAGTAATTTTATTATAAAATATATTTATAAGAAATTTCCAGTTTAATAAACAAATAATTTATCACATGAATTGGAGGATGAGAAAACTTAGAATTAATAAATTAAATTTGGGAGAATAAGAACCAGTCAAATTTGGCAAACGGAGACTAATGGGTGTATAAAATACAAGTTAAATAAATGCGACGGCTTTATAGTTTATGAAAATACTGGTCATTCTAATTTGGGTGTGATGTGCCTTTAGCTGTGGATTTTATTATAGTCCATCTCCTACCAAACAAAAGGATAGAATCTCCAAAACACCCTTCTAAATTTAGCTGGAAATGAGACTGAAGGGTATAGAAGTTGAAAGTTAGTGGAAAATGTTAGGTGCAGTCATGAGGATAGAATTGCAAATACAAACAACGGCTTTAAATCCCCCACAAATATTACACACCAACACAAACACGAGCTGTGAGAACAAGCAAAACCTCACCAAACACCAAAGTAGGAGGATTTCCTTCGGCAGCTTATCTCTAAGTTCTACACAAATTTCATCCCCTCTGAGAAGAAATGGATCCCAATCTCCAAACCCTTGAAAACTCAGAAAATGAAGAACAAAACCTACTTGCCATTGTCCCTTCGCAATCTCCATTTGCCACTCTTTCGCTTTCCTTTTCTCTATCCAAAGTCCTTCCTAACAACTCCTTTTTCCTTCAACCCAAAATTTCCTCCCTGTTTTCTCACCAACCAAGCAAGGTTAAGGTCCCAACACAAGCCTCCTCTCTTTCCCACCTTTCTCTCTCCTCCTCCTCCGCCTCTCTAGCTCCTACCAAAATCTCTTTTAAGTCCACCATCTCAGCTAACCCTCTCCAAAACCCCCTCACTTTGGGCCCACACCGCCCTCTTGACCCCAACAATGGGGCCGGAATTCGTCGAGCTGCCATTTGTTGGTTCCGTAACGATTTACGTGTTCACGATAACGAATGTCTCAACACTGCCAATAATGAAAGCATGTCAGTCTTGCCCGTTTATTGTTTCGACCCAAGAGATTATGGAAAATCCTCTTCTGGGTTTGACAAAACTGGGCCTTACCGGGCGTCATTTTTGGTTGAATCAGTTTCTGACCTTCGTAAGAATTTACAGGCACGTGGGTCTGATCTTGTGGTGAGGGTTGGGAAGCCAGAAAATGTATTGGTTGAGTTGGCTAAGGCTATTGGAGCTGATGCTGTGTATGCACACAGAGAGGTGTCACATGATGAGGTTAAATCCGAGGACAAGATTGAGGCGGCGATGAAGGAAGAAGGATTTGAAGTTAAGTACTTCTGGGGAAGTACTTTGTACCATGTTGATGATTTGCCTTTTAAGTTGGAAGAAATGCCAACTAATTATGGTGGGTTCAGGGAGAAAGTTCAGGGTTTGGAGGTGAGGAAGACAATTGAGGCTTTGGATCAGATGAAGGGCTTGCCATCTCGTGGAGATGTGGAGCCTGGTGATATTCCTTCTTTGATGGACTTGGGGCTCAACCCAAGTGCTGCAATATCTCAGGTTTGTACTGTAAAATATGGTTTAATTCTTTTTTTTTATTTTTTATTATTAATTGTTTTTTGAATGGATATGCTCGATATATTACTAGTTTTGGTTTGTATATGATGATATTCATGCTCTTCTTAGTGTTAATCAAATAGGAGTAAAGAATTAAAATGTAGATAAAGAAATGCAATCATAAGTAGGCTTTATGCAGCTTGATTAGTTGGAAACTGAATATTTTCATAATGAGAGTGGTTTTCCTTCTGAGTAGTAGGATCTGTGAGACTATGTTTTCAGATTGGTGAAGTTTGATATTTACTAAGAAAATTGTTTATCACTAAGTTATTCCTAGTAGATGTTGTTTACCATGGCACGTATCCTTCTCATAATCAAAGAAATTATTAATCTAATGAGTATCAAAGTGTAAATGTGTCCTTTCCCCAAAAGAATATGGAAAACTGCATTAAGCTATTCTGGATCACAAATTCTTTTGGAACCTAGATCACCAACTAGCCAGAACAAGGATTTAGGTTGGCATATACCTGTAGGATGCTGATGTGTTTGCTTACCCCTTCACCTTGATTTGTATCCTCTGTCTTGAGATCTTGTTGAAAGTTGATTTACTTTCAGTGTTGCAGTCAACCACATATTTGCCGACCTTGGATTTTAGCATAGTTGACTTTTAACAGCGTTATTGATATTCTATAATAGTGATGCTACACATTCAAGCTAAGTATACAAACTCTACTATATAAACTGATGTAGCATTTGTATGTAAACTAAGTATACAGACTCTTTTATTGCCACATCATTGATTCACATATATCGGGAATTCATTGAATCGGTTTTTAATTACAATCATCCATTCATTCTGTACCTAATCAATTTCTGTACAAAGTTGTATAACTACTATTCACTTTCTTATTATCATTCGCATGAAATGATAAATGTTTCATGCCTTGAATTCTGTGACAATATCATCTTTATTGTCTTATAGGATGGAAAGCCAGCTGCCAATTCTATGGTGGGAGGGGAGACTGAAGCTCTGCAGAGGCTGAAAAGGTTTGCAGCTGAATGCCAAGCACAACCACACAAGGGGAGCAAGGATGGCAGCCATGATAGCATCTATGGTGCAAACTTCTCTTGCAAAATATCTCCATGGCTAGCCATGGGATGCATTTCACCCCGTTCCATGTTTGATGAGCTCAAGAAAACTGCTACCAGGTATTCATCCATATAAATTTATTGAATAGTTTATTTCCCTGTAATGATGTTGTATTTGTCAAAATTTTCCTTACAAGTGCTAATCTTGGATGGCATTTTTTGATTGGGTAGTATATCTGCTTCCTCAAACCGGAATGGTGGTGGTAGTGGCTCATCTGATTCTGGGGGCAACTGGTTGATGTTTGAATTGTTGTGGAGGGATTTCTTCAGGTAATTTGATGGACCATATTTGCTGAACTCGCTCCAGAATTGGCATTTCATTTCACTTAATATTTGATAAATCAGCCATGACCGTTTGGCTCAGAAGTCATATATTCATACCTGATGCTTAGTGAATGTCTCATAAGTCATATATTCATATATGATGCTTAGTGAATTTCGTTAAAATGTATCTTTTTGTTCAGATTTCTCTAAAACTTTCACACTAAAGTTTCATTTGTCTATTATTTGTAGATTCGTTACCAAGAAATACAGTTCTGCAAAGAAAGTGGTTGAAGCTGCTCCAGCCACAGCTTGCACGGGCGCCCTTGCTTAAACAAGTTGAGCTGTTAGGCAAAGAAGAAATTGTTTTGGATATCGATTGCTTTTATGTTTCTCAATGAGAATCTAATATGTAGCTGTTAGCTGTTGGAGTAGGGTTATCTAAATTGTGTTTCCTTATCAAATTTGTGTATCGCAACCAAATAAAAGGATTGAATTTGGAAATTGCCTTTTTCTAGTGGTGGCTAGTGCCTTCAATATATATTCTCATGCCCTTTTGTAACAGATCTTTGGATATGCTCTTTATCTTTTGTTAATACCTTCCAATTATTTGGAATGCGTATCTTATTTCTTCTCTCAAAAGCGGATTCGAAATTGATTTATCTTGCAAAGGAAAATTTATTTCATTTGGGGATGTCCATGGACCCGTAATTCGTACAAAATGATCCAAGGATGAATATTTGATCAAACAGGTTAATAAACTTTTATCTAAATTATTTGATTACAATGAAGCAGACATTGGAACAGCAATGACTTCACCATAAGACCCTCAATTCAAATCCCTAACAGGTTGTGAGTGTTTCTGTTGCCGTTTGGGGTAAAAGGATTTTGGGAAACATACAAAAAATATTAAGCATCAAGGATTTGACGTGCAATACAAATGGATGTTATGCTATCCGTAGCTATTCATTCGTGTTCAATTAGTGTAGGAGCTCATTTTATTAAGCATACACATCTAGCAGCACGACCATTATTCCTCAATCCCCCTTCAATCTATACTTAATATTCGTCCAACTCTCACAACATTAATAAAAATATACTGTAAACCAAATGTTTCTGGTAGTAATAAACTAAAATGCAGCACGCAAATCTGACATCACTTTATGAGGCAAATTATCATAAATTTGTGGTCTTCTTTAAATAATTGGATGACACTCAAGGAGTTCAAATACCCTTTGATTGAAGGGAAATACATTGACAAAAAATACACTCATCAATTGGTAATATGGAAAAAAATAGGGATAAGTTTACAGTTGACAAATTTTCTCATATGATTCCAGAAACTTTGAGTGAAGAGAGAACAACAAAAATAACCCAAAGCAACATGAAGTACAGAGAGGTAACCCAAGCCCAAATCCTTGGCCCTCCAAGCTCTGCACCCAGTGTTAGGCGCCTAAACACCAGAACACCAATACAACCCACAGAAGTACAAAAAAATACAAGCAAAGAGAAACTGAGTCCCTCAGCATTTTTTATCGTCAATGGTTCCCTATATGCGATGAAATTGTATGCAGTGTCAATCAGCCATGGAATGCCAATGCCCACATATATATTCACAGAATTGCTACAAAAGAGAATGAGAAACATCAATATCATTTCTCACAAATTTTATTCTGCTTCTGCAGAACAACAGCATTAATTAGCTAAGAAACAGGATATAATCAGCCTTTAAGTAAGAGAAAATATTAATTCAAAAGGGGTCAACGAACAAACAGAGGAAAAATACTACATTTTCTAATTGAAATGAAAAATGTAGACTTCTGCATCTTCTCAGTATTTCCACCAATTCCTGACTACACATATTTTTTTAATTTCAGTTGTCACTTTAAGGTGTCAGTGGGTTGTTACTGCCTGTCAGTGTATGTAAGTATATACCTGGAGTGAAGTTGGATCTTTCATGAAATGAAGGCTTTTACTAGATAATGGGTCTTCAAAACGGCAAAATTACCATCTCATTCCCGGTGTTCATGAACACATCAAGCAGGAAACTTTTGGAGACTGGTTGTAGACTTGCAAGAATTTTCATATTTAAGTTCCATATCCAGGCCAGATTTTTAAATTTTAAAATACAATATTTGTTCATTCTCAAGTACGATGCATAGGCAACAGATAATTTCACACCAACAGGTAAAATTATAAACTCCTACAATTGAATTCCATTTAACAGCTTCAAAGAAGTTTTGGTAAGTATTAATATTAGCAACTATATTACTATTGAAATCTGTTATATAAGTATACTGAAAAATAATATAGGTCTGTAAAGCATTTTCTGAAAACAGAAATATGCAGCAAGACTCTGATAATAAGATTCTAAAAATGAAACCTGCAAGTGATATTTGCTATGGCTGAGTCTGCTGTTATCTGACGTTCAGCAGCAATCTTACTTGCCACCAAATCTGGCCATGAAGTTCCAGCAGCTAATGCTGTAAATGCAATGACATAAGAATTTATTCCTGCAAGAGAACAGGGTACATAAAGAAGAGACACATAGCTGACTAGATTATAAGAAGAATCATATACATCAACCGTAAACAGGAAGCCAGGAATTGTATTCCTAGTGAGGAGGGATACCTGTGACACAGCTTATCAGATCAGTGAGTTGTGTTAAAATGTAAGCTATACCACTGATGAAAATTAGGGAGCAAATGAAGGCAATCCACCCATGAGCAATATGATGAGGAGGCACAAAAGCAAACAGAAGTCTCCATGGCAAAAGAAGAGATTGCCAAAATAGTCTTGCTAGCCTTAGATACAAATTGTTCAATTTCCTTGATTCTTGGTTTACCAGCTGTTTAAGGAAACGGTATCATCATACTTGGAAAAGAAAAAGAATAACAATAATAAATCTAAACAGAACCATTTTGCAGTGAAAACCAGTAGAAATTACATGTACATGTACTTGTAGTCAACTACATATTGTAAATACACATAAATTAAATCAACAGAGTCCCCAGCTCTCTATTATAACAAAATTTTCGTAGTTGCAAGAACATAAAATTAGAAATGTAATCAAGCAAGAGATGAAGTATTAAAGCCTCAAAAGTCTGCCTTATAAATCCACTTTTTCTAAAATCCTGAAATATAAGATGTTTCCCTTGCATTTTTAAATAGTCAAAAGTTGCATTTCAATAACTACTCTGATTGATTTTATGACATTCTACTAGGAAGATGAATAGAAATTTTGAACCAAAAGAGAGAGAGAACCAAGGATAAAAATTATAATAGTTATTCTTGAACTATAGATATGATTTTCTTCCATCAAATTCAGATGAAAAAAACTCAGCACAAACCATGTTACCATAAGTGCGTCCACAAATTGCTGTTTCCATAGTGCAACCACATTAATAGTGTCTAAATTTATCTCCTTATCGAAAATTTCATTGGAGGATTCAGCAACATCTTCAGATCCTGGTACTTTTTCATAAACTGGACCTGTATAATGAGGAATTTTCAGATTGATTAATTTTGAAATTTGGGTGGAGGAGTTTAGACATCCAAGTTCCCATGATACTTTGAATTAAAAAACGACGCATAGGATACTTACAGATGTTACAGTATGTCATTCTTTCGTCTCACTGCCTTAACATCATTTCATATAATTTACGATTATTTTTCTGCTCAGACTCTTACTATGTGCCCAATCACTGTTGGGCCCAATATAACTTGCATGGCGTGCTAATAAAGTTGAACTTTATTTATACCACTGACCATTCAAACCAACGGCACTATTACTGATAAATTTAAAATTAACAAATGAAAGCTGTAAAATGAGAAGGCAAAAGAAGTACCAGAATCAACACAAAAGATCTTCGGATTATTCTAAAAAAAGTGTTTTCAGAGCCTTACTTTCACAATCAGATGTGAAATTAAAAAATTTACTTAGTAAAAAATCCCAGTCCCAGCAAGCCAAATTTTGATGAGAATCAAAATTGTGCCCACATGGTTAATCCTCTCTAACAAATTCAAAAATTTCATCAAAACTTTACAGTGATTCTGAATTAAAAATCATAAATCAAGACAAGACAATTTAGAAGAAAATATAAACCCTTACAGTATCCACTTACCCATGTCATGGCTCCTTCAAGACAACTACCAAGGACTTATAGAATACGCAAGGCTCCATGCATATGAATAATTCAAAGAAGAGAACGCTTGAATGTTGTAATGACTAATTACCAATCATTTCCAATTTAAAGCATCAGCATGTGTGGCTGGTCAGACTGGTACCTGTCCCATTTATGGAATGAATAGAAAAAATATCAACAATGTTCCCAGTTCCATCTTCACCAACTTCAAGTGTTTCAGAACAACCATCATAAACATTGTTCTCATCTTTACATGAAGCTGCCTCTTCAGGCACCCAGTCCTCTGGCCTCTCACTTCTTGCTCTACATGTAGAGAAAAGAAAAAAGAAGCAGATCAGCCAGCACAAAACCTCAATTGCTAAAACAATGAATAGAAACAAAAGCAAAGTAGCATACAGAGGAAGAGATAAGTAAGGCCAACGTTTGTCTTGAGCATAAGCATTTATCAGAAGTAATCCAAATTGCAGTACCGTCAACAAGGCTTCCCAAACTGTAACAACATTTGGAGTCCATACCTGAATCACAAAAGTAAGAACTGATAATTCCATTTTTAACAAGTTGGATGTCAGACATAATTGTGATAATGCATCCTATAAACTTATAAGAGTTACAGACAGATTGGTGAAAATATACAACCAAATCATCATTTACAAGGCTAATAGCATTGAACTCCTCTGATTGTAAGCAACAAACTGAAGGAACAACAATTTCAAGTCACTTTAACCATGGCCAATTTCAATTAGATGCCTGCATATGCTAGTTTGGCATGTATAAAAGCTATTCATGGTGCAGCATACAGTCATTACTGAAATCATTGACCACACAAAATAATAGCATATATTTACATCAGGGGTTAAAATATTAAACAAGAAGTCAATTCATCAATTTCAAATAAATGCCTATTTTTATACAGCATAAATATCTTCAATCTACAAATCCAAAGATATACTCCAGAGGACATTGCTCAAAGTTACCTCTAAAATTATGTACAGCCAGACATAAGCCCAGAAAGACCAAAAGAGCTCTACCAACCAAACTCCTATATCAGATATCTTTTTCAATTCTCCAGCCTTTGGAACAACGACACAAACAGCATGGATAGGAAACAGGTCAAATGCAGCCGAGCCAACAAGCGTTCCAGGACCCAAACCTAGAGATTAAGTAGAGCTTATAGTATGTCAATATATGGGAAAGAGAAGATATTCTGCACTAAAGTTATAGAATACAAGAAGAGACTCTAAACCGCAGATGATTTTCAAATCTAGCAAATATTACATATCACTGAGCAGGATAGGCAAGAATATCCAAAATTTTCAATTTCAACATTTTTACAGAGGAAGTAAAAGAGTGTATAATATAGAAAACAAACCTCCAGCATATAGGCTTCCAAGGTTTCGTATTGCATCAATAGTAGCTAAAGATATTTGAGGGAAGCTAGTTCCAAAGGCCAACAAGGTTATATCTGCAATAGCGTAATTCCATACCTTTTCATATCTAACAATTTCAGCATTAGTGCAAGGATCTATTTCTACTACCCTACACGAGTGTTTCACTATATTCTCCATAGAACGGAAAAAACAAGCTGTTATAGCCGACAATCCAATGAAACAGTAAGCAAGGCCAACAAAATATAAGAAAGCCCGGAATCCATCCCCAAGAGAGGTTTCACCACTGAAAAGCAGGTAGCTATCACATTTTTCATGCCCCAAAATATTGGAAACTCCAAATTTCTTATATACAGAGGCCATCTTTAATCAGCCAACCTCAAGTTGCGGCACAAGTTTGTAGCCAATTGCATAAGCATAAAATCACCTGATATGAGCAAGACGCAAGCAGGTTATTGAAAGTTAAAGTGTGACGCCTCTCAAGCATTTCATCAAACATTTGGTGTGCGTCACCCCGATACTTAGAACTTTTTAGAATACTCTTGTATTTACTAGAATCTTGTAATTAATACGGTAGTTGGTACATGGTAGTTGGTAGTTTGAAGTTAGCTAATCTCCATCGTTGATTGTGGAAGATCTAGACCGTCCATTGTAAGCTCCATTTATTATAAAAGGAGAGGCCTTCATTTAGCCAAATCATCCAAGAATTGTAAAGCATTCTCTCATTAGTAAAGAGTTCTCTTTTAGCATTTCTTGTGAGTGAGTTTGTGTGAGTGTTCTCTTATTTGCAGGGCTAGAAGCTTGAGCGAGCAAGGCTGTTTAGGGCAATCATCCTAACCCCAATCCTTCTAAGAAGAACTCTCGAGGAGAGAAGGACAAGTCCATGGACATGATGGCCTCCATGGAAGCATGGATGATGCGTAACGAGGTGTATGTTGCCGAAGTGAAGGAGCACCTCGACGTCCTCGATCAAAAGATGGATGATGTGGAAGGCATGGTCGAAACCATGGGAGAGTTTCGCCATGATGTTGCCGAGAAGCAACAAGCTGTTGCAGAGTTCCAAGCGGTGCTGTTGGACTCTCTTAGGGCATTATAAGCTTAAGTGGAAGAGCTTTGATCGGGTCTAGAGGAAAGCAAGGGCGATTGGGCGTTTTGCAAGAAGGTGGTGGCAAACAGGGTCGTTACCAATGCTGTACCTCCTGCAAGGGTCGAAGTTCCAAGACTGCGGAAGTACGAGGGAAAGTGGGATACCCAAGAGCTGGAGAATTTTCTATGATCCATGGAGAGGTATTTCGAAGCTATTAATGTCCAAAGTGAGCAAGAGAAGGTGAACATCGCAACCGGCTACCTTGAGGATCATGCTATCGCGTGGTGGCAACTGAAGCATGCTAAGATTGTACAAGGTACATGCATCATCAACACTTGGGACTTGCTCAAGTGTGAGCTCAAGAAGCAATTCTATCCAGGCAACGTAGCATATGAAGCACGGAAGAAAATGTGAGAGCTTAAGCACACGGGGCATATTTCCAAGTATGTGGATGAGTTCTCTAAACTTATGCTTCAAGTTGATAATATGAACTCGAAAGATTTGCTATTCAATTTTATGGAGGGGCTCCATCCCTGGGCACAAAGTGAGCTCCAAAGACGTCAAGTTGCCAACAACTCCACCGCCCTTACCGAAGCCGACACCCTTGTTGGGTTCCACAAGGGCAAACCATCCAAGCCGAAGAAAGATGGCAAGCCCGATTACGACAAAGGTAGGGAAGGGAAGGGAGACAAACCATCTCACCACCGGGAAAAAAGAGACAAGCTGCCTCATAAGAAGGAATGGCGGAAGGATGACAAGAAGGAATACAAGCGCCAGGAGAATTGTTATCTTTGCGATGGGGATCATTGGATCCGAGATTGGCCCAAGCACAAGGCCTTCAATGCCATGCTCGAAGAGAGACAACCTGAGGCACCCGCATTCGAAATCGCTAACAAGGGGTGCCTTCAACTTCTCAATACCTTGAAGGTAAAGCTCACACAACCCAAAGTTCAAGATAAGTCCCTCATGCATGTTGAAGCCACCATCAATGGGAAGAAAGTTCAAGCCTTGTTGGACACGGGTGCTTCCCACAACTTCATCAAAGATAGCGAGGCAATACAGTTAGGCCTCAAGGTGAAGAAATCAGATGGATGGCTTAAGGCGATGAATGTAGAAGCTAAACCACTTGGGGGCGTGGTCGAAATGTTGAGCTACATTTTGGCACATGGAGTGACAAGGTAACATTTTTAGTTGCACCTTTAGATGACTTTAACCTTGTTCTTGGCATGAAGTTTCTCAGGCAATTCAATGCGATGCCCCTACCGCGATACAACTCTATGTGTATCCTTGAGGGAGTTCTATGCATGGTTCCGACAGTGAGCAAGGTCGCACCAAGCAACCAACTCTCCGCAATGCAAATTGAGAAGGGACTTAAGCAGAAAGAAGAGACTTTTCTCGCCATGGTGCATGAGTTGGAAGATGAAAGAGGTGTGGATACCATGGAGCCGGCACCAAAAGAAATATCTCAAGTCCTTGAAGAGTACAAGAATGCCATGCCACCTGAGTTGCCAAAATGCCTACCACCTAGGAGAAAGGTGGACCACAAGATTGAGCTAGAGCCGGGAGCTAAACCACCCGCCAAAGCCCTATACCGGATTTCGCCATCGAAATTAAATGAGTTGCAAAGACAACTCAAGGAACTCTTAGAAGCCAGATTCATCAAGCCTTCGAAAGCACCCTATGGAGCTTCGGTTCTCTTTCAAAAGAAGCATGATGGGTTGTTTCGCTTTTGCATTAACTACCGGGCACTCAACAAGGTAACCATCAAGAACAAATATCCCATTCTACTAATTGCCGATTTGTTTGATCAACTAAGATAGGTCAAGTACTTCTCTAAGCTTGATTTGAGGTCGGGGTATTACCAAGTGCGGATTGCGGAAGGGGATGAGCCAAAGACCGCATGTATGACGCGTTATGGAGCCTATGAGTTCAAAGTCATGCCTTTCGGCCTCACCAATGCCCCTGCCACATTTTGCATCCTCATGAACCACATCTTCCATCTGTACTTTGATCGGTTCGTGGTGGTCTATCTCGATGACATTGTGGTGTATAACAATATTGTTGAGGAGCATGTCAAGCACTTGTAGACAATTTTCCAAGTATTGCAAGAAAATGAGTTGTATGTCAAGCAAGAGAAGTGTTCATTTGCCAAGTCGGAGGTAGATTTTCTCGGCCACAAGATCACAGATGGAAAACTCATCATGGATAAAGCCAAGGTAAAGGCTAGTATGGAGTGAGAAACCCTAATGAAGGTTATCGAGTTACGCTCTTTCTTGAGCCTCGTCAATTACTACCGGAGATTCATCAAAGGCTATTCCACCATTGCCGCACCACTCACGGATTTGCTTAAGAAGACCATAAAATGGGAGTGGATGGTTGATCACCAACATGTCTTTGATTCTTTGAAGAGGGCCATCATGAAGGAGCTGATGTTAGCATTGCCCAACCATGACCAACCATTTGAGGTACATATTGATGCATCTGACTTTGCTATTGAAGATGTATTAATGCAGGATGAATATCTCATAGCATTTGCAAGCCGAAAGCTTAATGATACGGAGCGGCGATACACGGTGCAAGAAAAAGAGATGACCATCGTGGTGCATTGTTTATGCACTTGGCGGCACTATTTGCTTGGGTCCAAGTTCTTGGTAAAGACAGACAATGTGGCAACAAGCTACTTCCAAAGTCAAAAGAAACTCAGCCCCAAGTAAGCTAAATGGTAAGACTTCCTGGTTGAGTTTGACTATGCGATGGAGTACAAGCTCAACTTGGTGGCAGATGCATTGAGTCGGAAGGCCGAGTTTGTAGCCATAAGCAACATACAAGGGGATCTCCTCAAGCTCATAAAAAAGGGTCTCGAGCATGACACATTGGCCAAGCAACTCATCTCTTTAGCTCAAGATGGCAAGACCAAGCACTTTTGGGTAGAAGATGGTCTCCTTTACACCAAAGGGAAAAGGTGTATGTTCCAAAATGGGAGAATTTGTGGAGGAACTTGATCAAGAAGTGCTACGACACCAAATGGGCCGGAAATCCCAAACAAAGGCGCACCCGAGCACTATTGGAGCAGCCTATTATTGGCCACAAATACGGGACAATGTGGAGCAATTTATGAGAACTTGTCTTGTGTGTCAACAAGATAAGGTGGAACACCAAAGCCCCACAGGTTTGTTGGAGCTGTTAACCATACCGAGTAACTATGGGAGAGCATCTCAATGGAGTTCATAATATGCCTACCGAAATCCAAAGGATTTACCACCATCATTGTTGTTGTAGACAAGTTGTCAAAGTATGCCACTTTCATCCCCGCACCAAATGAGTGTACAGCGGAAGACACGGCCAAGCTATTTTTCAAGCATGTGGTGAAATATTGGGGCCTTCCGAAGTCTATCATCAGTGATCGGGATAGTCGGTTCACAGGCTTATGGGGTTGGCATTGCACTTTTTCACAAGTTTTCACCCTCAAATCGATGGGCAGACTGAGAGAGTGAATGCTTTGTTAGAGATATATCTGCGACACTTTGTGAGCGCTAACCAACTTGATTGGGCAAAATTGCTTGACGTAACCCAGTTCTCGTGTAATTTGCAGAGGAGTAAAGCCACCAATAAAAGTCTTTTTGAGATGGTGATGGGTCAACAGCCACTCACGCTGCACACCTTGGGTACAAGTTATAAGGGGATTAGCCCCGCGACATTCAAAGTTGCTAAGTCATGGCATGAGCAAGCTGACATCACACGGGCTTATCTTGACAAAACAACCAAGAAGATGAAGAAGTGGGTGGACAAGAAGCGGGGGCATGTGGAGTACAACGTGTGGGATCTAGTACTTGCCAAAATTCTCCTATCACAACACAAGTCCACCCGACCACTACACAAAGCACTTGTCCGAAGATATGAAGGGTCATTTTCCATAATCAAGAGGGTTGATAATGTATCCTACAAGCTCGAATTGCCCTCTTGGTTGAGACTCTATCCGGTCTTCCATGTGAGTTGCTTGAAGCCATACCATGAAGATGCAGAAGATATAGGATGGGGAGAATCTAAACAGGCACCATTTGGCAACACCAAGATGTGGAGTATGTGTTAGCCGACCGCGTCGTTCAACAAAAGGTTCATCCTTCAAGTCGGGAATACTTTGTCAAATGGAAGGGGCTACCGAAGAGTGAAGCAAGTTAGGAACTTGAAGATGCATTGTGGCAATTCAAAGACAATGTCCAAGAATTCCACGAAGAGTCGATGAGGACGTCTCCGGATTTGGTGGCGAAAAATGTAATGCCTTTCAAGCATTTCATCAAACATTTGGTGCGTGTCACCCCGACACTCTAGAACAT